GGAACGGGTCAGTATCAACACTCATCTTCTTCTCCGGAAATTTCAGTTTGCCATTATCAATCCAGCTTTGGACGTTGTCTCGAAACACGACGCAATTGTTTGTCGTGTGTTTGCTTGAATTGTGGTATTTGCAATATATCTTTCCTTTAAGCTCTTCAGCCTTGGGAATGTTGTGCCCAGGTCGAAGTTTGATGATCCTTGCTGATAACAGTTGATCAAAAATTGCATCGGCCTTTGTAATATCAAAAGTATAAACTTTCGACGGTTTCAGTGCTCCTTCAGTAGCCGAGCGGATTTTGACTTCCTTAGAGTCAACTTGAGTCAGTACCTTGCAAACGTATGGCTTATCTATCACTATCTCAGTTGCATCCACACTAATGCATTCATCCTCGGTTGATGCATAATTGACAGCAGGATTCTTGTAAATCGTCCCCCGAGATGGAGCTTTCGAAATCTTTTCCTCGCGGAGCAAATAATCATACTGCTCGACATGTTGGGCTAATTTGTACATATCCCGAAAGTTTGCCCCCAAGAATTTCTTTTTGTATTCGACGTCAAGACCGTTCAGAGCAAGTCTGACGAATTCAACTTCGGGGAGAGGCACTCGGCACCAATTCCTAGCTGATTTGAATCTAGTAAGATAATCCATTGGTGACTCGTTGGACGCCTGAGCCATCCTTGCTAGTGAGGATACTGACATTTCCATTCCCGGTTGATAAAACTGCTCATGAAATTTCTCGACCAACTCCTCCCAACTCTGGACGGAGTTCGGTGGGAGGTTAATATACCAAGCGAACGCTGAGCCAGTCAACGAAAAATTGAAAAGTCGCAACTTGTGAAAGTCACTATTAACGTCTCCGCATTGTGCGGTGAAGCGAGCTACATGTTCTAACGAGGATAAGGATGATTCTCCGGCAAAAAGGCTAAAATCCAGGATCTTGAAACCTCTAGGGTATTCGACCTGTTCCACGCAAGCTGGATACGGGTGTATAAACTTAGGGAACTTCGGCCCTTTCTTCATGGCCGAATTGATCATCCTTTGAACTTCGGTCATATCGACGGGCGTTACTTCCACTCTCTGGTCGGATCCGTCTGACCTACTATTCGACCCTCATCCTCTTTCCAATTGAAGTGGCCTGAGCCGAGCAGGAATTAGCTCGGCCGGTGCACTTGATAATAGATTATTCCTCGGTGGCAAATGATGGGCAAGATCGAAAGTTCTACCATCGTTGACCTTACTAACCAGTATTTCGAGTAATCTGGTTTGTGCTTCACTGGAATTGCGTATCACGTCATGAAGCTTATCGATTCCTCGACTCAATGTCTGTTCAACCGTCCGAGATTGCTCGTCAAGCCGTTTTCGAAGAAACGACCTTGTGGGTGGATCGGATCCTTCGCCACCATCTTCATCACAATCTTCTATTACTCCTTCATTGAGAACGCAAGTGTTCCTGTCAGGAATTTCAAGACTGCGAACCTGACCGCCGAGATTAACTTCCCTCTCTCGGCGAGTTGCGCTCGTGGACTCAGGTGTCACGGCGCTGATGGGATTCTGCGCTTGTGGCACATGGTGTCCTATGTTCTGATTTGGTAGATCGGCTGTCGACTTTCCCATAGCTGTTTTCTTTTTTACCGATCATGTTTCAATTGGCATAAACTTCGTAGTTTAGCACTGGGTCCCACTGGGCGTGCCAAAATGTTGACCCTAGAAACTACCAAGCCTACGTGGCGCACAGGCCGAGTAATCTATAAGCTAACTACGTCCTTCGGTGAATGCGGGCGTGCCAACTCGTCGGCCGAGCTCGGCCGAGGAGTAAATTTGTTGATGTTGCGTTGGGTGCGCGGCTGACTTCTACGTCTTGCGATTTCGATCGAGGAAGGAACGCGTCTCGGCCTCTTGGGTTCTCGAACCTGAAGACAAGGTTACTATTCTTTACGAAGTTCACGAATCGTCGTCGTCGGATTCGGTCACAATGATGTTATTCGTCAGAGTAAACTCTCGCTGAATCGACACCAAAGTGTAAGGGCACAAATACTCAAAACAGATATAAGTCTTGATGGTAAACGTGGTTCGGCCGTCCAAATGCCGAACTCTAAATCCCACTTGGGAATATCCAATCATAAAATAACTCGGCGAGCAAAGCGCCGAGCTCGATATACCGTAACACCTCACTTCGCCGAGAAGGCTAATGAGATGACCTCAATCAATAAGGATTCAGAAATCCTTCTCGACCGAGACTTGGATAGGTAATCAACCATTCTCGCCGCAGTGCTGTTGATGCCAACGGAAGATACTGCGAGATCGACTGATTCTACGGTGACAGAGCTATCTATGCCAACTTAAGATATCACCGGTTGCTTCCACAGTGTTGTTGATGCCAACGGAAGATGTGTCAGCGAAAAAGAAGGAAAAAATCTCAAGTTGTTGAGAGTTTGCGCATGGCAGTTTTGTATTGATTTGCAGGGGGCTTGAATGATGCACAGCCTCTTCTATTTATAGCAACGGCTCCCCCCAAGGTCGAGTTAAAACCCTACTCGGACTAGGTCTTCTTCTCCTAATCAGCACCAACTCGACCAATCCTATTTTCACTAGGATTGTGAACCTAGTCCCTAACTGAGCCGGATTCGCTTCCGGGTTATTAGTCATGCCGAGACTCCTCATTGCACTAGGACTCGACTTCTTGCGTTATGACCTAGCCGACCTAGGTTTGGAGGCCCACGTACTGAACAATCCACGGCATTCTTGTCGCAAGGCCTTCCGGGCCGAGAACGATTCTATACTCGGCCCAAACTATTATTTTGGGCCCAAACAGCATTTTATTGTTTCCAATAAATTGTAAGAGACTTATTGAACAATTAAATAAACACAAATTATATGTTTGCTTGCTCCCTATGTTTTCATTATGTTCCAATACTTCATAATATATATGTCATTATATTTTCTAGTTTATGATGAAATTATATATTTTAAGTATAAAGAAACACTTATTTACATGAAATACAATAGATTTACTTAAATCCGTCTAGGCGTTAGGCCCTATTCCAGTCGCCCAACTAGTGCCTAGCACCTTTTAGAACCTTGACAGTACAAGATGAAATTATTAATGATCAAAATTTTTTTTGGAGGCGGCGAAAGCCTGACACCAACTACAATAACATGGTGTCTTGAATTAAATTAGAGCGCACCTCATGCCAAACAAAAGGCAACCCAAAATAAAGAAAATTTGGCGTCGATGGATCACCGTTTGCTTCACGACGAATTTAGGGTTCTAACAAAGCCACAAAAACATTAATTGTCCTCATATTAGAAACATAGGCAATTTTTTTTAATAATTAAAACATGTAATAGCATGAATAACTAAGTAACACTACGTAACTTATTATCCGTGAAAATGAAATTTTCCCTCTATAAATAATATTGAGTACATCATTCAAATTGCTATTAGCAATTGTGATTGTTTTACCCACTGTTCTAAAAACCTCCACCTAACATCGCTCCGATTAATGCTTAAGCGTTTGAAAATTAAGAAAGGGCACCTAAACCTGTTGAGGCGCTCTCCTAGACGGCCTAGGCACTCGTCTAGCCCGCCCAGACTTGCCTAGACACTTGCCTAGGTTGCAACTCACTTAGATACAAAATAGATAATTTTCCTTTTGCATTTTATTGTTTCCAATAAATTGTAATAGACTTATTGAACACTTCAATAAACACACATTATATGTTTACTCCCATATTTTGTTCCAATACTTCATAATATATGTCATTCTAATTTCTAGTTTATGATGAAATTATATACATTTTAAGTATAAATAGACACTTATTTACACAAAATACAATAGATTTACTTAAATCCGCCTAGTCCACCTAGGCTCCACCTAGCCACCTAGGCACTAGGCCCCAACCCGTCGCCCGATTAGCGCCTAGCATCCACATGAGTGGATATATATAGGAATCAAAATATGCCGAATAACTCATGTTATGCTCATCTACATCTCTCATAAGTTCGAGCTTGATTGCGAGACCCACCTGTCAAGCAAGGACAAAAGTCGGCCTTAGTGATCTAACAGTGCCGAATGAAATGTCGTCGCTCAACGGATAAAAGTTACTCTAGGTATAACATGTTGATCTACCCCAAGAGCTCATATCGACGAGAAGGTTTGGCACCTCGATGTGATCATAACCACTACCTACATTCTACGAAATTGTGCACCACAAATAGGAGCTAATAAAAAGACATGTGATCCCATAGAAAGAATCGTTGAGTCTTCCTCTTTCCGGACAACACATACAAAGAGACCCACCAATAAATAGTTAAGTAATTAGTGAACTTATGAGAGATGTTTAGACTTAGTTTTTTTTTTTCTCTTCCATCTCCCATCTATCATTCACAGAATCAGTTCCTCAAAAAAAAAAAAACACGAAAAGGCTACCATTTGATACAATGGTAATATGATTTTAGATATCAGTGATTTTTTTATAGAGATAATTTTCGAGGAAATATCTTAAAGATATATAGGGAGTTGGATTATTGAAATACAATAGGGATTGAGCACCACAAGAGTCGCTCAAATGATTTTCTTTGAAGGATTCTTCAATGAGAGGATTTTATATATTTACATTAAGGGGTGAAAATAAATTACTTTCAAACTCGTCATTCATAAGGTACGAACCTATTATATCTTACTAACAAGTAAAGAGGAATTCCAGTATAATGTAGCACTATTGGCTGAATAATGTGAAATACAAACCAAAATTACCAAACAACTCTTATACAATTAATTTTTCCTACGTAAAATTCAAGAAATTAAAAGATAGAAACTCTGTGGTTTTGATGTCAAGGTAAACAAGCATCAAAATAGAAGCTTAAAACACTGTTGAAGCAAAATAACAAAAATAAAAACAACAAAAACTTCTTAAACAACTCAAGGGAATTTAACCGGGTTATAAGACCACCTAACACCATCTAACATGGTGGTCTTAATCCTTAAAGCAACATGATCTAATCATCCATATCACCAGATTGTGGGGTCGGCACGTCCCCAATGGACCATGGAACCACCTGTATGGCGTTCTGAATGTTTTCATCAATTGTCGCTGAAGTCACTGACGGTTGTGCACCTAAGGGTTGATTCATCTTCGCTAGCTCGTCTTCCTTCCGGCTCTGAATCGCGACAACTTCCTTCAATCTCCCGTCGATCATCCACCCTATTTCCTGTATATCAATGAACTCCAAGACGGTCAGGGGCTTCCCAGTGAGGCACTGGTTCATGGCCAGCCAAATTTCCACCTCTCGGTTTTCTTTTTTTTGCTTGTTCACCTTCTGTTGCTCCTTTTCAACCATCTGCTTCAGAAACATCTCATGGGTCACCATCTTTTTATTTCGCTCCTCCTCGGGCATGTTCTCGAACTGCTCAATGAGGCGTCGTGCTTCTGAAGGATTAGGCCAGACATCAGGTTGAGGCTCATCTGGACTGTATATGACAGCACATGTTGGAACATCACAAAGTTTATTGATTTCAAACATCTTCTTCATGAATCCCCTCTTCCTTTTCCTGAATGTCACTTTTCGCGACGAGTCGTTCATGATGAAGGCTAATTTCACTTTCCTTCTAGTCATAATTTCTCAAAGAAGAGACAAATGAAAACTAGGGAAAGGAAGGGAAGAAGGCGGCTTTAGGGTTTCATACTCTTAGAAGGTATGGTTTAACCCTAAATAGCTAATCCTATTTATAGTATTTTGTAAGGGGCTACTTTAATCAATTATGACATATTTTGTCATCAATAGAAATTTAATACTTTTAAGGTGATAAACAAGCACAATTTTAGTTTCTCACGCATTTTTATTTAATCATGTCTGTTATTTTTATTTGATTTATTAAATCTGATGATCAAAAATAAAAGAAATGTGTCAAAATTATCTCACAAATATTTATGCGACTAACAAATTTATAATATGAAATCTAGGCTGGAGATTTATTAGCATAATAAAAGTTTATTTACATGAACTTGTTGGATTTTTGTTTGATATTATCCACCATTTGGTTTTATATGGAAGTTTATTTTGAAATTTCATCCTTAGGTGCATGTATTATGACACAAATTTTTCTGTCTCGTGCATTCATTCATTGAACGATAATTATTATATATAACTTTCTTTGATAATTATAACTTATACAGTACAATTCATTCTTTTTTAGGAAATTTTTGTTTCTCTCCCTTTTCTGGCAGACATATGGATATACTATATATATCAAGAAATTTTAAATTGCTATTTTTAACCTTTTCGCATTTAAGAAAGAAAAACAAAACATCTTAAGAAAAAAAATCTCTCGAGCATGCTCGCCATTCATCCCTCATTTTAATGCTCACCTACCAATCTGATGCGATAATAAATTTACAATTTCTAATAATCAAATGTATTCGTTTCAACATAACGTCTCTCCGAAAAAGTTTGCGTGTATTATTGGGCTAACTTGCAAAATGTAAAACACTATGAATTCAAATCCAACCCAATTAAGTGCTGGTCTCTCAACCTGCCTAAAATTGGACACAGTCTTCTATTTCACAATTACGATTTTACAACTAAGCTCCATGAAGTCTCAACAGCATTCTATATATAAACGACACACTAGAACGGTCAAAGTAGGCCCTACTAAGGTTAGCAATCTAAGGTTATTCATTTCGGCAGATTCGCACATTGGATTTCTGATCCGTAACTTTCTAAAGACCTAAATAAGCTTCCAAAACAACATACTAAAATTCACGACTATCTAAATGTCGGATTGTCGTCAATTACAAAAATCATGCAGCGGCACAATTATCTCAAAAATGAAATATTCGAACCATCGTATCGAAATTCAACAAACGGACCTTGGATATGGGTTCAAGACATTGAGAACATCTTGATGTCCCAAATCCATGAAATTTGATTTCCTCCCACACACTGCCACAAGCGCCGCTGCGCATGGTGGTTTCCGGCGACCAAAAACCTAGTTTCTGACATACTCCACTTCTATTCAAATTTACAAAAAGGAGTAATTAGGTTTTCATCCTTATTTATACTACTCTATTGATTAAAACCTTATTACTTTTCAATTTTTGATCAAGGTCCTTTGTATTAATAATATCATTAATTATTTCAATAATAAAATATTTTTTATTTCTAAATATATTCATTTAATATTAAAAATGTTACAATTAGTATATTTATATTTATGGCTAAATTTTTTATCATATATTTTTATTTTTAGTTTGTACCCATTTTTAATTTGCAACCCTTTTTTTAATTTGTACCAATTTTCCTTTCAATTTTAATTTGTACCCATATATTAATTTCTTTTTGTGCCCATATTTTTTAAAGTTTTATTTGTATTGTACCCATATTTTTTTATTTATTTGTACCCATTTTTATTTTTGCTAAATGTACCCATTTTGAAGAATGTACCCATGTTTTGATACAATAATTTTTTGGTTATTTTTTATGAATGTACCCATGTTTACACACACACACAATAGTATATTTATATTTTAATATTTTTAATCCCACAAATTATGATTTTTTTATTTAAAATCTCATTACTATAAACAACTATAAATTTTAATTTTTAATTTAAAAAATATAGTAACGTACATAGAAATAAATTATCAATTAATTTTAGGGACTTGGATCAAAAATTGAAAAACAACAAGGTTTCAGTCAAAGATTGTTCATAACTAGGGACCGCATCTAAAGTCTCCCTTACAAAAATGTAGATCTCAATGAGAGCAACAACTTTTATATCTGCCACAAAGTCCAAAACAGGATGGAAGATGATCAATTTTGTCGGTAAAGGCGGCGGGTGCACAAAACTTCCCACCGTCGATTTGCTGCATATGATAGTCCATTGGGATTGGGGTTGGTCAAGTTTTGCTCCTAGGATGATGGGCTACAAAGTCTAGATGGTGTCGTTCGCCATCGCTTCACTGATTCGCCAGAAAAATGAGAAAGGTAGTTAGAGGCTGGAACTCTAAACTTTCATGGCCTGGCAACGCCACTTGCGGTGTTAATCGAGGTGGTTTTTGTAGAGGGGAGTGAGAGCTTCAAGATGGCAGTAATGGTGAAAATTTTCGCCAAAGTTAGTTGAAATCAGCGTCGGAAAATTGAAAGTTGTGGATCGCGATTGGGTTGGTTCCTGGGCTCAGCTTTCCTGATTTGAAAAGTTGGAATTTCTGACTTCTAAAAGTCAGACTTTCCACTTATAACCTTCGGTCAAAATGCCAAAATGCTCTCCAACTTAAAAAGCTTCTAACTTCATTCTAACTCGGAATTGGGTTCCATTTGCGCCTACACACTCGTGGGAGTGAGCTATACCTAACCAACTCAAGAATTGGCCTAAAAGGTCAAGTAAAATTTGCAATGAAAAAAATACACCCCACTTCAATTTTCTCAAACAGGAGAATTTAATGAACTAATTTCAATTAAATCTCTGAAATACTTCTAAAAATGAAATAAAATACTAAAATTTAGGACGGGATATCACAAGAAGAGAAAAGGGACGGTGAACAGGAGAAAGGTAGGGGCTTGGGCGCTTGAATGCTTTAAATTTTTAACTTTTTTAATGTCCACGCATGGTCAGATTGACACGTGGCACCCGATCATTGTCTTGGGGCACACGTCACGCATTAATGGAGGTTTTGACAGAAAGCGTAACAGAAGTATGAAAGTGTTCCATAATCCTTACTTTAAGTAAAAGACTGGGATGAAAAATACTTGATGTATAAAAGTTTGAAGACCACAATTCTTACCCATTTAGAAAAAAGAAAACTCAAAATCAATGCTATGCAACTCATTCAAGGCATAAATAGAGCAGCATCTCTCACATATTTGTATCATGGTTCATCCTTTTTTCTGCATATTTATCATTACTTGTATTCATCTGTTGACATTTGTTTGGATGTGGGGGATTTCTCGAGAAGAAATCCCATATTTGATTTTAGGTTAGATTAGAGGAGAAATCATCTGACTGGTAGAAATCCCATATTTATCCGTAAGATGATTTTTCGAGAGGTGTAATCTATTCAAGCGTGTGAGGTTCGATATTTGGTTTGGAATAGCACTTACAATGATCACACTTGAAATTGTAGTCTACCTCTTTAAATTATGCTTTGGAAAAATTTGAGTATAAGGTAACATAACAAATCTATGAGTAATTATGCTTTAGAAAAGGCCTTGATTTTTTTCTTTCAACTCTAAAAAAGTTTTAATCAACTCATACTTTAGTTGGAGGATTCAAAATGTCAAAATCATCATTAATTGGTACAAAAGAGCATGTTTTTCTCTATAAGAGCGTCTTATGGTTTCAGCTAGAATGAACGTAGGATGAAGATTGCATAGTGGAAATGTTTGATGTGATTGTAGGTTTTGATTACTGGTATAATTTTATTGATAATTTTATCTTGTACTGATGATAACTATGCAATAGGATAAAAAATGTAGTTGACATTTAAAGTTTAAGTTGAACGTAGAAAAATGTTATATGAGTTCAAATAAAAATTTTCACATTATGTCTCCCGCACGTTTCTTGTTTCTCTTTTCCGTCTCTTCGCACAGTCACGTTCTCTCTCTTCCTCTCTCTTACCTCCGCGCGCCAACTCTAACTCTACATGCGTCAGGTGTTGTAGCTGCCGTCACCTAGACTCGCTCTTGCCATCCCTTTGTCTCATTATGCAGCTTGCTCAGACTTTGCGAGTAGGTTTTCAATGTTTTTGTTCTTTTTTAGATTTTAATTTTTAATTTTATTCATACTGCAATTGAATGGTGTTGAATTCTAGATGCACGATCCCATATACATATATTGATTCATTGAATATTGATTAAGATGAAAGATGACCTCAAATTTAGATTATGGAATTATTGAGCTGTCGAATTTGGTTTCGGATTTTCTTATTTTTGATGCATTGGTCTGTGATGATGTCAATGCCATAATGATATAAATTTTAACTTTCCTAAATTCTCAATACAAGGTTTTTTTTTTTTTTTTTGTAGAGTGCAAGTAGGCACCTATATTTATATGTTATATAGTAAATTTCATTAAATCCTCCTAGATCCAACCTAGCCGTCTAGGCACGAGGCCCCATGATGTCCGGCTAGAACTTAGCATCTTTTTGAACCTTGAAAAACAGATGCCCTTGGATTTCTCATATAGCAAAACTATAACATATATATAGGCTTTGATTAAACAAGGGCATTGCACAATAGTTTAAATGAGTGTAATGTCTATATGTAAGAATCATGCAACCTAACTTTGATTTGTGTTACATTATTGTCATAATAATGTCAGTTTGATAGGGGTTAGGTTTATATATTAAGGAGAGAAAAATAAATCCATTCCACCATCCATGAAATACAAACCTATAATCTCTCACTTACAAGTGATGAGGAACACAATTGAATCTTAATACTAATAAGTAGTCTAAGAATGTTGAATACAAACCAAAGTTACCAAACAACCTTATATAATTAATTTTTTCTAGATTAAAAGCAAGAAATTAAGAGGCATAGGAACCATGTGGTTTTGAGGTCAAGATAAGCAAGCATAAAATTAGAAATAACTTAAAACAACGATGAAGAAAAATAACATAAAAATAAAATACAAAAACTACTTAAATAGCTCAAGGGAAATTAAAGGGGTTCTTAGATCACCCAGCACCACTGATCATCGTGGTCCTAATGCCCAAGAGTTGACATATGATCATCCACGTCAAGAACTTTTGGTCGGCACGTCCCACATGGACCATGGAACCATCTGCATGGCGTTCTGAATGTTCTCACCAGCTACTGTAGTCACCGGTTGTGCACCTAAGAGTTGATTCATCTTCGCCAGCTCCTCCTTCCAGCTCTTGATCTTCGCTTCAAATTCCTTCAATTTTTCTTTGGTCATCCTCCTCATTTCCTTTAAATCAGTGAACTGCAAGTCGTTCAGGGGCTTCCCAGCAATGAACTGGTTCATTGCCATCCAAATTTCCAATTCTCGGTTCTCTTTCTCCAGCTTGTTTACCTTCTCCAGCTCCATGTCGACCATCTGCTTCAGAAACATCTTATAGTTTACCATCACTTTGTTTCGCTCCTCCTCGGGCATGTTCTTGAACTGCTCGATGAGGCGTCGCACTTCTGAATGATCAGGCAGGGCATCAGGTTGAGACTTATTTGGACTGCACATGATAGCACATGTTAGAACATCACAAAGTTTATTGATTTCATACATCTTCATGAATTCCTTCCTCTTTTTCCTGAACGTCGCTTTTCGCGACGAGTTGTGATGTAGTGAATAAGGAGTTTATTCAATGGGGCTTTTGGTATTTTGGTGTTCATCCATTCCGTTAATTATTAATTTGAGATTCATGTATCTTAGGTTGTGATGTAATGTTTTGTAGTAATTTTGATGCATTTAAATTAAGTGGCTAGGTGGAACAATTGTCATTTAATATGTTTCAGTGGCTTAGGGAGTTGTATTTGCATTGATGAAGATGTTTTGGCACACTATTATATTAGGGAGGGAGTTTGATATGCTAAAGGAGACAATTTGGAATTATAATTTTATGGTAACGAAGAATTAAGCATTGCTCTTCTATCATTTTTCTGTCAAGCCTTATGTGTTTTTGACATCTCCTTTATCTCTTTTTCGTTCTGCATTAAGTTGTTTATCATGAAGGCTAGTTTGACTTTCTTTCTAGTCATGATTTCTCAATAGAGAGAGAAATGGAAACTAGGGAAATGAAAGGGAAGAAGGCAACTTTAGGTTTCAGACTTTAGTCCGTGTGCTTTAACCCTAAATAGCTTATGATATTTATAGTATTTCACAAGAGGCTACTTTAATCAATTATGAAATATTTTGTCCTCAATTGAAATTTAATATTTTTAAAATAATAAACACGAAACATTTTTAATCTCTCACGCACCTTTGTTTAATCATGTCCATTATTTTTGTTTGATTTATTCAATCTAATGGTCAAAAGTAAAAAAGAAATGTGTACACATTACCTCCACTAATACTTATGCGACTATCAAATTTAGAATATGAAATCTAGGCTGGAGATTCATTACCATAATAAAAGTTTGTTTACATGAGCTTGTTGGATTTTTGTTGATATTATCCACCATTTGGTTTTATTTGGAAATTTATCTTGAAATTTTCATACATAGATGCATGTATTATAACGCAATTTTTTCGGTATGGTTCATTCATTCATTAAAAGAGCGTTATTACATATAAATATCTTTGGTAAATATCATTTAGAAGGTAAAATTCATTATTTTTTTTAAGAAATTTTTGTTTATCTTTCTTTTCTAGCATACATATGGATATACTATATATAACAAGACAATTTAAGTTTCTAATTTTACCTTTCCGCATTTGAAAAAGAAAAACAAAACATCTTAAGAAGAAAATCTCTCGAACGGGTTAAACTCCGATAGCGATTCATGCCTCACACCCACCACTCTGATGCGATAATGAATTTATAATTTATTTATAATAACATGTCTTTTCTCGTGTGCTCATACATCCAAACAAAGCTTATCATCTCTGTTGCACTCATATTTTGGACGTGTTGGTGTTTGGCTGCCCAACATTCGTGTCGTGAAGCATTGTTGGCCTTACTATGCCCTATAAAATTTCATCTTGAGTTTTAGTGGCATAAGACGGTTGGCCAACATACTTGATTCATTCTTCCAATTCATCCATCCAGCTTGTATTATGGTTGAGAGATCTTCATCTATTTTGTGATTTCCCAAATATATAAAGATAAAGTGCAAACATTTTTCTTATCTCTATATCGTTTCATCAATCCCTATAAAAATATTATAAAGTTAGACGATAATATCAAGTGTCAGTATGACGTTTGACCGAAAAATTTAGCCTCTACTATTGGGCTCACATGCAAAATGTTAAACACTGAATTCAAATCCAGCCCAATTCAGTGCTGGTCTCCCAACCCGCCCAAAACTGCACCGCGACTTCTCCTTTTTGACAATTAGGGTTTTTCAGACACAGGGATATGGAGATGGGAACCGGAATCGGACTTTTGCAGTGATTTGCCACACTTTTCAGTTCCCAGAGGGTTCAGTTTGCGATCTCCCTTGAGTTTTGATCGAGGAGTTTGTATTGGGTAGGTAGATTTGGGGTTTTACAATCAGCTAATCGAAATATCGAATTTGAAATTACAGAAATTCTGGGAATATTGGGGATTTGTTCTAATTCATTGCTCTGAAATGTAGGGTTTTGGGGTTTTGCAGTTGCAGGAGGAGAAGATGAAAGTCAACATCTTGCGTATCCTTCTCACTGTGTTTATGTTATTCTGTTATTTCTTTCAAACTACACCAGTTTATATACCATTTGCAACTAGCTCATGTAATTTTCTGTACTTTTTATTCTAAGATATTAACTTCGTTGCATTTAATCATATGGTAGAATGGATTTTGGCTTGATAGTTTCGAATTCCTAAGATTTTGATTTTGTTCTTTCTTTCAAATTTACTAGTTTATACCATTTAGAAATAGCTTTTGTAATGCTCTTTTCTTTCCCGTCTCCGAACTGTTGCATCTAATCGTGGTGGAATGAATTTCAGCTTGATGGTATTGAATTTCTATGATTTGTCATCCTCTGGAACTATGAATAGTTAATGAGCTGTAGAGTTTTACTACCTTAATTGTAGTCTAATGTTATGAATGGCGATCACAAGATCAGTATCTATTATGTTAGTCATGAATCTCTAGCATACGTTCCCCCTGTTTATGATTCGGTGCAATTATCTTTTTAACAACAATTGTGATAATTTGACAATCCCATTTGCTCGGTGATCTTTTTTTTAACTTGAAACATCTTTGATGGGAAATGGACGTATTATGCATTTTATCGTAACTGTTTTCTCTTTACCCTTCTCTCTTTGCGAATATCTGCTGGGGCTTTTAAACAGAGTATGTCTGTTTTTTACCGGTTTTCTATCTCTTATGTTCATTAATCAATTGTTGCATGTGTGAATGTGTCTAAGTGTAAATTCGATGTGCCCTTTTTTTATGGGATATGTTTTATTTCATCTACTTTGGAGCTCTAACTCTTATCCCTTTGGACCTGCAGGTGGCATGCTGTTGCTTCATGGACATGGGATGCACAAGACGAAACATGTGGGATTTGTAGGATGGCATTTGATGGTTGTTGTCCCGATTGTAAACTCCCTGGGGATGATTGCCCGCTAAGTAAGTCACTAACATTACTGTCACCAGATTCTAACGTTTCTTCTATTATTAAGACCCAATTCCACAAACTGAGTTTCATGTTGATCTATAAACATGTGCTGGTCGAAAAGTGAATTCCATGTTGCCTGTGTCCACATGGTTGTGCTTTTTTTTTTCACACTTTCCTGTCATGATTTATGTGGGTAGTTCTATTCTTCCATAAATAATGGCATCAACTCGTAGCAATGCTTTGATGCAAAATATTATGGAATATACAGTTCAGTGATAATTTACAGACATCGACATTGGATATTCTTTATTTTTCTCTTATGAAATTTCCCAAATAATACAGAACATCAGATCTGTGTCAACACCTTAGAACATCATTTACACATGGTTTCATGGACATCATGTTACACATGGTTTGCAATGCACACAGCTAGCATGATGTGCTCCTAAGCTAACAGTCAACCCCTGTATATTTGGTTATAGCATCTAGCTGCCCAACCAAATTGTTTATAGTACCGGCATTTCAGATACGAAACCCTTTATTATCTTTTGCGTTGGACCAACCAGATTGTGACATTTCACATTTTGCATTAGTAGTGTGATTTGCATTTCTTTTAGTCTTTGTTTTTTTTTTCTTATTTCCCGCTAAATTATATGGTTTGTATTGATATAATCCGACGATAAATGATTCTATTTGCAGTTTGGGGCGCATGCAACCATGCTTTCCATCTCCATTGTATCTTAAAATGGGTAAATTCACAGACTTCTCAGGCGCATTGCCCCATGTGCCGCAGGGAGTGGCAATTCAAAGGATGAGAGATAAAAATTGAAATCACTTTTAGGGAATTCTTGCTGACTCGCTCCCTCATCAAGTGCAGGTTTGCAAATGTTTGATTGTATACTGGTTGATGTAAATTATGACCACCTTACATCTGTTGTGTATTGGATGATGTGTGCTGAAGTAACTCCGTCTTGAGGCGTAACTTCTCAATCATTCGTTGTATCCCTCCGTAAAAGTGAACTTGAATCAGTAGAGCTTTTTACTCACCTTGATTTGGTGTTTATGTTCTATAAATTTGTGCATCAATTGAGATTCAGGAAGCAGAGACAGCGCAAAAATATTTACCTTTTTTGTCAGCGGTTTTCAGGATCGCCGCTAAAACATGCTCCAAGGAGTTTTACCGGTGTTGGCGGCGAATAGAACCGCTGACAAAGACGTTCTCCCTTCAAATTGGTCATCCATTGTTTTTGCTGCTCATAATCTTCTTACCTTGATTTTAATACACCAGAAATTTTTTTTATTAATGTCAATATGGAATTGGATTATCACAATTCACAAAGGGTACTTGTCAATTGGGAAATATTTTCTAACTTATTTGGTGAGCAAACGCCTAGATTAGACACCACCTGTTTTACTTCCCTACCCTTTCTTTTCGTTTTGTTTTCTTTTCTTTTCACATCAGTGCAGGGAAACATAATATTTGACCAAGGATTAAAAACACAACTAAGAAAGTGACCCTTAAACTAGTGTTTGTATTTCGTTACGTGATTTGATCATGCGACGAGAAAGATAGACAGAAAAAAAATATACAATTGGTTATAAATCCTAATCTCTCGGGTTTGTACAAGTCTAATCACGTACATGGAAGCGGTGATTAGAGTTAACTTGGAGTTGCACGGGACCTGTAGCTGAGTTAATAAAAAAAAGAAAGGACGTTTACTTCTTTAGCTTTAAGGTACCGTCGTCCTGATGAGTTTGATTCTCCCCCTGCTTGTACCATAAGAAAGCACATGGGTTGGAGCGTCCAACATTGTCGTGAATCGTGATGCAATTGATTGGATGGTAGGTAGCTTCCTTCATTGTTTTTATTACAAATTTGCAGTGTACAGGCGATCATCACGTATCGCATTAAACAGAAAAAGTAGATGAACAACTTTTCTTTTTCGGGATAAAAGTTAACATCCTCTCTGCTCCACTTGAACACAACCACTACAAAGCCCTACATGTTTTTGCGTATATATTAGGAAGTTTTAACGAAAAGCTTGTGGTACTGTTTACTTTAACGAAAAATCATATTTTTACATTAAAAAGTCAAACTTGGTATTATTCACTTGACCCTTTATTTTGTCTTTATCGTTAAAACTCAAAGTTTTCAGACCATTTTTATTAATTTTTCTTATATATTATTTATAAATTATATTCCGCATGGATATGATGGGGAGCGGTTCTTTTCCCTTGCTTATTGATAACGCTATAAACAAAAACAATAATATATGAAGCACTGAAGCGGTTGATATTGCATACGTGAATTATGTTAGTTAGGGAGAGCATTATGCACGTCCTTTAAAACTCAAGTTTGGATCTCGCTCTCGTAAATTAAAGAAGTTTAGAATATATTTTGTTCACAACACAAAGGATAACTTGTAACCCAATTGGGAGAAATGAGAACACAAATCACATTGAAAAATAAATGATTAATGTTTTAAGAGACATTAATCAGTAATCACAATACTACCATCCATATCCACCTTTACAACAGAGAGATTTGAAGGAAGGAGGACAAAAATTAAAAATGAGAAAAGAAAAACAAATAAATTGAACAATCACACCGAGACACACTACATGAAACTATCAACCATCCACTTGGCTACACCAGATAATCAGACGGCTGAAAACAATCCCATACTGCAGAAACAAAATGACATATGTGCCCTTCACATCTCTACTACCTGTCCAACAACGGAAACAAAGAAAACAGAAATCCGTGAGAAGCATGACTATTTGGGTAGAGTCATAGCATGACTTCAACAGAATCATTTCCGGATTTTTTTTTTAGGATTCTGAAGATCCGTGAATTGTGTCCGCTTATCGTACATTGTGCGATTAATTTTTTATCAAGAACTATTTATGTTTATTTCTAAATAAATATATTTAAAATAATTTTTGAACGCATAATGTACGTCGATAAACACGATTTACTGATTCTCAAAATCTTCATAAAGAGGATCCGAACTCAACATAATTTAGTAAGTGCATGCCACGTCATGATTCACGTGGACCCATACCTACCCCTGGTCCGTCAATGAAAGAAACGTTTGCTTAATCATGTAATTTAAACTTCAACCCTCATTTTTAATTTAACAAAAATAAAAGAAATTTTGTTTTATTGGAATTCAAACACTTGAATAAAATGTCAGGGATTATAACGCTCCTCCTCAAACATTTTTCATGTGAGTGTAGAAAAAAATAGTAAAATGTTTGTCTTAGTGCCGATGATTAATTGAAAGTATAAAAAAAATTCAATAGAATTTCTTCGTACCGTCAAACTTAAAAAAAAATAATAATGAAAATGATTTGAAAACTTTGAATTTTAACAATAAAGACAAAATAAAGAGTAAAATAAATAGTAACATGATTAACTTTTTAATGTAAAAATATGATTTTTCGTTAAAATTCTCTAAAAAAAATACGGGTGCTTACCGAAATTATTTGAGGTATTACTTGGTGATGGCATAGATGGCGTAGATAATCCCAGGGATGTAACCAAAAATGGTCAGCAACAAACAGATCCAGAATTCCACCTGAAAATACATCAAATCCACCATATATTATACCCATGAAAACACATACATCATAATTATATTATATTTACAGATTAATTAGAGAAAATACGCTATACGAACACTGTCTGGACCATCACATCCGTAAATTTCTACTGGTCTAACGATTCAAACAGTGGTACCATGTGCGTTCGTGTGACGTATAATCTCTATAAACTAAACGACTCGGAAGAAAGAGTACTAACATGGCAGCCAAACTTGAGGAAGACACCAAGAGGAGGCAAGAGGATGGCGATGAGGATGTCGACGAAGTTTAGGGTTCCTTCGCTCGGCATACTTGCTGAGAATTTTTTTGCCGGAAAGCTGAGAGAGTTTTAGAAGAAGAGGAAGTAGGGCAACTGGTGGATATGTGAGCGGTGGTGTCACAGAAACGGTGAGTGGTTTATATATACAGCTCCTCCGCGGGCTGATGGGACACGTGGAGAGGGTATGCATTCGGTGGAGACAGAGCAATACAATGTACTACGCGGTTCCTTAACTCCGTGAAGTCCGTAGAGGATTTTTCAATGTGTTGGGAACATAGTATAGTACATTAAATATTATAATATACATGATTAAAATTTTTACAAGTATTTAATTACTTATATTATAATACTTGATTCATCGGATCGTGTTTCAGCTACTGAAAGTCTCTTTATGCGGAGGACGAGTAGATCTTACTTTTGGGTTGGGGCCCTTGGGTGTTCTATCGGAATCATACAGCGTGGTATATGGCATGCTGCAGAATCCATATCCGAATAAAGAAGCAAGAATCATACAGCTAAGTTTTGATGTAGAAATTCAGATTCATGAAAACGTGGCTCGTGCGGTTCTCACATCAGTCCCATGCATACAAAGTTTTATAACCCATATAGTGTGCTTTTTTTTTTCGGTCGAACTTATTGTGTTTCAAGTTTCCATAGGCTTGGATTCGTCAAATTTTGTTCATTAAATGACGTATTTGTTCAACAAAAAAAAATTGATGTATTCGTTGACATGTTACAAGCAAATACACTTATAAGCATATGAACATTTATATATTTTTATTCATTGCACATGACCCACATGTTGCCGATGTTACTACCAGAAATTGTCGATGGCCAGAGTCATTGTGGCCGACATTTTTTTTCTGGTCGTAAAAAACTTCCAAGTCACTGTTCAACAATGACTTAAAAAAAACAATTTGTGCAACTTTTTCATCTTCAGTTATATTTTGTTGTGTGAGTTTATTATTTTTCTTCATATATACATACAATAATTAGAAAGTTTATGAGAAAATTCATTACTTAACATGTTTTTGTGAAGTTCACGGTTGGACAATGACATTGAGACTGAAATTTTTGATCGGCCAGACGCTGGAAAATTTGATCAACCGGTCGTAAAAAAAAGTTGGCCGGTCGAAAAACGTGGTAAGATTGAGTGCCAATCATGTAATTATTCTGATTTATAGTAGTATTTATATAATTATTTGGTTGATTTTTTCATTGGTACCTAAATTTAAACTATTCGGTAGGGGATGACTAATTAGGAATTGTTGCATAATTCTAATTTGTTTCTAGTCTAATTTAATCTGTTGCACGAGCATCCAATAACTTGAGTTTAATTTTTTACATGACACTAATTATTTTCTCGTGCTTTTATAAGAGACGTTCTATAACAAAATAACGTGATCATGCATCTCTACTCCATTTTTTTCTTTTCCTTACTTAAAAGATCCTTTCTTTCGTTTCTTTTATCATTACAACACATTAAATGTTGCAATGTTTGCCACCCACGAGCATTGGGATGAACTCGAGTAACGACCAGCCTCCAGGCTGTCAGGAAAATCTAACGGCTCGTAGGTAGCCGCGGCACTCCGGAACTACGGCGGTGATGGAGGCTTCAAGTATGTAGCGACCAATGGGGTCTTATCTGAATCGCCTACACTATGCACGTGATGAAACCGTCATCTGCATTTTATAACCTAAAGTCCCATCTATAATCTTCGTGGAGAAGATTAGACCTTCTTCTTCTCACATGGGACACGTGGGAGCTTATTAATGGAGTAATGGGCTTGAAGTAGAAACCTGCCTCAGTTTGAAAACAAAAATAAAACAGATGTTGATTAGACTAGTTGATTAAGACGGTGTGATATCTTGTTTGCTTAAGTATGAAGTTAGAACATTATTATTCTCTTTTTCCATAAAATAAGAGAAAATACTATTGTCACATTCGATTAGTTATCCAATTGTTTTTTAATTAAAGGAAAGCATCACAAAGAAAAGAGTAGGGTTGCCCTTTGGGACATTAAGAAGATCTTATTAGATTGTTTATTCCTTAATTGAACAATATTATTCTTCATTTTTTGTGATTAGTTGGACAATATTATTCTTCACTCTTTGTGACTAGCTAGTTGGACAATATTCTTATGAAATTTGGGAATTGACAATTTGATATTGTGTGTTTACAATTAGAATGAGGTATTAAGTATCAAAATCAAGATGCAAAATATCTCAATAAGATTTCGAAAATGGTGGTCGATTAAGGGTTGAGATGTTTACACTCTTCATCCCTCTTTCAAAGCTCTTCTCTTTGTTTTTATTATTTGATATTTCTTTGATTTATTCAATTCTAAAAAATCGAGAAAAGGGAAAAACAAAATAATTTTCCTTGATTAAAAGCTGAAGCCAAATTGTGGTGTTTCGTACTCGGTAGGAAGAATGTGATCAGTCCTATTGAAGGGAACCTTTTGATGTCTTAAGTTTACAACAAGCATTGGCTTTGTAATGCTTATGATTTACAACAAATTTGATGATGCTGTTTGCCAAAAAAATTTGATGATGCTTGCAAAAAATTTCATGCTTAAGGAAAGGGACCAGTCAATGTCTTCGCACCCACAATCTACTATTTTGGAGGCCGAGAAGAATTACATATGTATTTCAATTTCTTTCTTAACCACCATGTATAATTTACACGCGCCAAAACACTTATAACATGTCATGTAGAATACGGATCTAAAATTTGTCTTCAATCACTAACCCACCTCGAGGTGGTCGATGATGCTTGCAATTTACTTTGAACAAAAGCGTTGAGTAAGTGCTGGGACAAATCTGAGTCATTTTATTCAAATCAAAATGAGAGTAAAAAACAAGGAACAATTGCACCAAATACACGCTACATGAATGAGATCAACCATCCATTTGGCTACACCAGATAAGACCAATCCATCAAACGGTTGAAAACAAACCCTTGATACATAAACAAAAAGACGTAGACGCCCTCCACACACATCCTTTACCTACCTGTCCAATAAAAAACATTAAAAGGATCAGAATGTAGTACGAGTCGCTAATCCTTCTTTGTTAAAGCATATACCACATAATTATTGGTGGATGACAACATATAAATTAGTGCAGGTCATTTTCAAGTAGACCCAAATCATAGTAGGGTTGATAGGAGGATTGGGATCATCTCCGGATCCCAGCCTTCGGAGCGACATGAGCAAAACAAATCATCCTTCTATTTTCATCTTACCTTGTTTTGCGTGATAATTTTTCAATATTTAAATTTATTTCTGACCACAAGATAAAAAATTGGAGGATGGGATGTTTTGCTCAATTTGCTCTGAAGGTTGGGATCCGGAGGTGATCCCAGTCCGGGTTGATAAACCAAAGAAAGGTATATTTGCTTAATGAGGAAGTTTTATTCCTTCATAAAAATATTAGAGATAATTATAGAGCAATAATCTTCTAATTTTATTCCTTCGATGATCAATGAATATTGATTTAGAGAAGTTGGTGCTTACACAAATTGAAAGGATCACTTGGTGATGGCATAGATGGCATATATAATACCAGGGAGGTAACCGAACAGAGTCAGCACCAAACAGATCCAAAATTCCGACTGCAAATCATCAAAACCACCACATATAAACATCAAAATTCCTCATAAAAACAACTGCACGAAAATTCTGTTTCAAGACACAAAAACACAGACCATACACAAATTAGGGAAACGATGAACTTTACATCTATGAATTCCACTACTATGATTATTCAAGCAGTGTTAGTATGTGAGACGTGTTCGTATGATGGACTTTCCACAGTCAAGCAATTTTAGTATGTAATACGTGTTTGTATGACAGACAACATATATAAAATAACGGACGCGAAAGAGAAAAACTTACATGACAGCCAAACCTGAGGAAGACACCAAGAGGTGGCAAGAGGATGGCGATGATGATGTCGATGCAGGTTGCTGTACCCATACTTATCAAGTTTGATCAGAGAAAGAAAACAACAAAGGGTAGAGAGTGGTTAAACAACAAGAAGTATCGGACTGCTTTGACAGAAACTGCAAGGAGTAGAGGGTGGTTATATAGAGCTGCAACTTCTGCTGCTGAAGGAGCCACGTGGAGGCTAACCACTGGGTACACGTAAACAATTTTATTAGAAAACGGATTATGCCTTTCCATAAATGGGCCACAGTTGTGCTGTCTCCATATTTATGTGTCTCATTTTTTAATTTTTGACATCTGTCATCAACTTAACCCTAAACTTAACAGTGTTAACCTTTTAAAAGAAGAATTAAAAATAAAAAATAAAAACTGATAATTAAAGAAAACCAAAAGCCAACAGCAGCCAAACTTAGCCCGATGGTCACACACAGAACCACACCACCCCATAGTCGTCGGCGACGCTTCCCCTCACTGCCGGCGAAGACTCTTTTACTCTTTCTCTCTCCGGTGAACCCACTCCACTGATTATTATTTTTATTTTTGGAGTTTCCTTTCCCCACTCGGTGGGTTCACTTTCATATATAACCATTATAGCCTACCATCCCCAATTTCTTTAATTATTTTCAAGATTTTTTAAAATTTTCACAGAAGATATTCTATTGGGATTTTCAACAAAACCCAGATTCTTCCCCAATCTGAGATATTATTCTTATGACAAATTATCAATAGATTCGACCTAGAAAAATATGCGTACAGAAGTTTGATTTGGTTGTGGATATTGAATGGGGAAGATGGATATCTGAATCCTGGAGCAAGAGAGAGAGAGAGAGAGGGAGGATTCGAGGGGAGGCTTTGGCGGCAATGAGTAGGAGTGGCCCGAGTGGGGTTACCGCCGGTGACGGCTGCGCGGGAGTTATCTTGCGTGGACTTCGACATCTGCTAGGTCCTTTGTTATCTCTTTTTATTGTTTTTTTTTTAATTTGATAAAAGTTAACAATGTTAATTTTAAGTTAAGGAGTTGTACACATGTCAAAAAGATAGAGAGGAAACACAAATGAGACATACATTTGGAGACAGCTGACCCGTGGCCCCATAAATTGGTGATTGTGACCACTGGCGAAGCTAGAAATTCTTATGAGAAGGGACGAAATTTAAAAAGTTTAGAGTCCTGAAAAAATGTGAACATTCATTCAAGGTCTAAGTCCAGGATTTCCAAGAAGATTATTTGAATTACCCGTAATATTCATAGGAGAATTTGCACTAACCGAAATATTCAAAAGAGGACTTGGACTACTCAAAATAGTCGAAGGAGGGTTTGAAAAACAATATTATTTGAAGGATGATTTAGCACTGTTTCTTGTTGTATCGTCCTATTACTTAACTATATAATTAACAAAGTTTTAAAAGATGCTCAATTCTAGTCGTACGGTGGACATGACTTTACACTTAGGCAAGGACCTAGACAAATTTGAATAAAGTTATTATATACAGTATAAATAATTGTCTATTTATTATATACCATATAATATTCGAAAAACATTGATTATAAAACATATAATATAAAAATCTTGACAAATTTTCTTTATTACTTTGTTGAATTTGATGGTAAGAGAAAAAAAAAACAAATAACTACGAGTTCGTAGTATTTTACAAATTATTTTTTGAAGCTGGTATAAATTTATAGTGAATTTTAAGATAAATAACAATGTCAAAGAAGTGATTTAAAAAATATTGGAAGAGTGATAAAATTAAGGGAACTTTAACAAAAAACACCCGGTACTGTTTACTTTAACGAAAAACCATATTTTTACACTAAAAAGTCAATTCTGGTACTATTCACTTTACCCTTTATTTTGTCTTTATCATTAAAACTCAAAGTTTTCAAGCTCTTTTCATTAGTTTTTTCTTAAAATTAATTGGATAATAATTAAAAAACAAAACAAATTTGGTCAATAGTTAAAAAAAAAACAAATTGTAATTATGAAAGGGCACGTGGGGTGGGATGGGAGAGAGAAAGTCTCTCTCTTCTTCCTTTCTCTTCTTTTTCGTCCAGAACCTCTCTATTTCTAGAAGCTGCAAACTACAGCTTTTCATTCCTCCTTTCTTTGGCCTAAATGTATTTTCTTTTTTGGAAAAAAAAAGAGAGCTCACGATCATCATGTGCTGCCATAGAGCAGGGAAACCCAAAAGGCCTGAAAAATCACATGAAATTTCATCACTTTCGACAAGACCGGAGGGACGAAACCACCGTTCCTAGGCTTGATTTCCAGCGAGGGAGGGGCGGCCGCCACTCCTCGCCCACGTAGCTTCGCCACTAATCGTGACACGTGTTAGTTTCCAATGTGCTTCTTGTGCCTTGCGTAATTTGAGCGTGCCGACATGTTTTTTAACTTTGTTCTTGATAAGGACCCTCCACGATGCATGGTAAAATATCTTTTTGAGAGGTTCCTTCAATCTAAAGATAGATAGTTCTGACTTTTAGAGAAATGCAATGGAAAACTATTGAAAGTGGGATTTTTTTTTGAATTTTATATCATCTCATAGTTTAATGTTAATTTTCATGTTAACATTAAAAATATTGTATTAAAAAAACATAAGCTGTCACAAAGTCTATGAAAAATTTCATCTTTAAGAGAGTCTCCTAAGCATTTCTATTCATAATTATGCAATTCTCTTCTCTTATTATCCAAGTTGTCAATCTCTACTTATTTATACCGTTGAAAGAATTGAAATTTAGTTCTAAAATGCCTTTGCAACAGCAAGATTGATCCGAATAATTATGTCATTGCAAAGTTTCTTAATTTTTTTAATTAAGGAATTCTTTGAATTTTCACATTCGAATTACGGATGCGTTTATAGTTTGGAAAAGTATAGTATTTTATGAAAGGATAAAATGAGAAACCCATGACAAGCTCTGCTATGGTATTGTAACTATTGTTTGATATTTTGCAACTCTCAAACTCATGTCATCGCCCGTTATGATCCAAACTAGAGACTCACACAAAAACGAGTTTATAGTTACCGATGCGTTTCAATACATTAATTTAGAGCATTAAAGTGCCGTTTAGTACGTGAGATGAGACGGAACGCAGTAGGATGAGATACACTCGTCCCACCGTGCGCCAATTTGTCTGGGATGCACGGTCCCATGGAAAGGCTTTTAGTCAAATTTTTGTGCCACCCTCCCAACGACTTGTTCTAGCTCATGGAACACAAAATTATAACTTTTTGGACAACAATACCTCTTTTTTTTTCATTAATTTCACTATCTACCCTTTCTCTCCCGTAGCCTTCCTCTCTTCAACCCTCCCTCTCTCTTGTAGCCTCCTCCTCCACCACAAACCCGACAACCCAGGCTAACCCAATCCCAGTAAACCCATCCGAACCCAACCCCACCTTCATCTCACCGCCTCCTTCCTCTCTGCTAGTCCCACGACGAGACTGTCGTCCTCCACCGAGAAAACCTCAAGACCACCCACTCACAAAACGTAGTCAACACCGTCGCTCGAGGGATGGGATGGCAAGGATTAGGCGGAAGATGTGAGGGATGACGTTACCAGTACAAAAAATAGTTTATGCGACACAGGTACCTTCGTCGCGCAAAGTCAAAAAACGTTGCTTAAAAATTAGTCGACATCTTCATTACATGCAAACTGTCGCGCAAAATCCGTGAAAACAAGGTTTGCGCGACAAAGGGATAACATACGTTGCACACAAGGCCTTTGCGCGATGATGACAACACCTGAGTCCTCAAAAGGACTCTGCGCGACAACAGAAACTGCATCACGCAAAGTTTTTTTTTATAATTTTTTTGGTAAAAATATTTTTTATTTAATTTTTTATATAAATATTTTTTTTTTGACAAATATATATATTTTTTAATTTACTTAGAACAAATGCGTTGAGTAAGTGCTGGGAATAGTCAAATCTGAGTCTTTTATTCAAATCAAAATAAAAGGAAAAAACAATGAACGTTTGCACTAAATACACGCTACATGAATGAGATCAACCATCCATTTGGCTACACCAGATTAAGACCAATCCATTAAACGGTTGAAAACAAACCCTTGATACATAAACAAAAAGACATAGCTGCCCTTCACACACACCCTTTAACTACCTGTCCAATAAAAAACATTAAAAGGATCAGAATGCAATACGAGTCACCAATCCTGCTTTGTTAAAGCATAGATATACCACGTAAGTATTGGTGGATGGCGATATATAAATTAGTGCAGGTCATTTTCAATTAGACCCAAATCATTTTCTCTGTCGAACTATATGATAGTAGGGTTGATAAACCAAGGAAAGGCATATTTGCTTAATGACGAAGTTTTATTCCTTTAAAAATATTAGAGATAATTAGAGTAATAATCTCTTAATTTTAACTTAACTAGAACTTTGATTCATAAACTAAAAATTCGTTGGTGTTAAAATCTGAATTTGTAATAATGTGGAGCAACAGTCATATTGGCTAAATCCGTTAGAACCTCCACACATTTTTTGCGTCTTTAAACCCTTTATTTTGGATAAAAGTTCTAATAGAGTTAGAAAAAAAAAACCATTGCTCCACATTATAAGAAATTCAGGAACCTAAACTTGCAGATTTTTACTTCAAATACCAAAGCTCTAATTGAGCCAAAGTCTGCTCTAATTTTCTCAAAAGATTAAGATATTCGGATGAATGAAATATCCAAATCAAAACAAGCCCGATGAAAAAACAAAAATTTCAAGGCCCCATTTTAAAGCACTTTACCCTCTTTTTACGTATTCATTCGATCATCAATTAATATCACACCTTCACTATAATAATAATAATAAATAAATAAATAAATAAAATTAAAACAAGAAATATTGATTGATAGAGAAGTTGGTGCTTACATTACACAAATTGAAAGGATCACTTGGTGATGATATAGAGGGCATATAAAATACCAGGGATGTAACCAAGCACAGTCAGCAGCAAACAGATCCAAAACTCCGACTGCAAATCATCAAAACCACCACATGTAAACATCAAAATTCCTCATAAAAATAACTGCATGAAAATTCTGTTTCAAGACACACATAAACACAGACCATACACATATTAGGGCATCGATGAACATTACATCTATGAATTCCACAACTATGATGATTCAAGCAGTGTTACTATGCGAGACGTGTTTGTATGATGGGCTATCCACAGTCAAACAATTTTAGTATGTAATATGTGTTTGTATGACGTACAACATCTATAAAATAACGGACGCGAAAGAGAAAAACTTACATGACAGCCAAACCTAAGGAAGACACCAAGAGGTGGTAAGAGTATGGCGAGGATGATGTCAATGCAGGTTGCTGCACCCATACCTATCAAGTTTGATCAGAGAAAGAAAACTACAAAGGGTCGAGAGTGGTTATACAAGAAGTATCCGACTGCTTTGACAGACACTGCAAAGGGTAGAAGGTGGTTATATAGAGGGAGGCAGATTGTCTGCCTTCTTGTTTGGATACCTTCTAATCTCCTCTTATTTGTACAATCACGGCACATCAATATTTTATATTTTTATTATTTTTTATCTTATTATCTTTATAAAAATATAATATAAATTACTAATATAATTTAATCATGATCACACAAAATAAGAAATGATGGAATGACATTCAAACAGGAGGGCACACAATCTGCCTTTTATATAGAGCTGCAACTGCTGCTGCTGAAGGAGTCACGTGGAGGCTAACCATTGGGTAAACCTGACATAGTCAATTTTATTATTTTAGTTTCCAAATAAAGAAAAATGGATTATGCATTTCTATAAATGGGTGATATGACACGTGTTAGTTTTCAATGTCCTTCTGGTGCATCGTGGAATTTGAGCGTGCCGACATGTTTTTTAACTTTGTTCTGGATAAGGACCCCCCACGATGCATGGTAAAATATCTAAGTTTTGACAGGTTCCTTCGATCTAAAGATATCAAAGATAATTTCCGAAAAAAAAAAAAAGAAAAAAAAAAGAAAAAGATATCAAAGCTAGGCCACACAAAAGACGGAAAGGTCGGCAGCCTCAAGGATAAGTGGTTGAGCAACCGAGAAGTCGACTTCTTAAACCTCAGATGTGCGAGCCTGCTTATGCTGATGTTGCATTTGATGGTGACCTGGATTACACATAAAGGTAAAGGGTTTAGATGAGAGTAATTGAGTGTATGCTGTCCCGGCTAGTGTCAGTCTAGCATAGGCAATCCTGTTCCTCGTAAGAAGACTTAGTCACATAGCGTCTTTCACTGTCTAGCTAGTCTTAGATATTTCTTGCTTACAGAAATGCTAACGACAATTATTGAGAGGGTTGTCATCTCATAGTTTAACGTTAATTTTTATATCAATACTATAAAATATTATGTAAAAAATATGAGGTGACATAAAGTGAAGAGTCTGACTTTAAAGAGAGTTTCCTAAGTATTTCTTTTCATAATTATGGAGTTCTTTTTTCCTCTTATTATCCAGGTTGTCAATCTCTACATATTAGTACCTTGAAAAGATTTGAATTTTAGTTCTAAAATACATTTGCAAAGTTTCTTGAATTGTCACATTTGCATGGCAATTTTGTATTTGAATTCACATTCGAATTACGGATGCTTTTATAGTTTAAAAAAGTATAATATTTTATTTTTATACTCTAATCTCTAATCTCTTCTCTAATATTAGAAAGCCAGAAGTGTTTTGATGTCTCAAGACTTTACAAAAAATAATTGGACATAGAAGTCCCTAAACAAAAAAAATTCAAACCTTAACGAAAATAATAGAACAAAATTCGCAAGGATAATTTTATCATAAAAAAATAGATACAAAAAAAAAAGTGGTATATTACACAAAACTATCTCAACTATAAGTCGAATTACAATCTCATACCTCATGTTTTAAACATTGCAATGTCATGAATTCGTTGCAATGTCAGACATCAGTTAAATTTTCTATCAATTTAGTTGTTAAATGATGATGTGGCAGGCAGGGCCCACCCTTTTTGCCAACTGAAATAAAAATTAATTAATTAAGTATGAATAAATTAATTTTTTTACTTAAAATTAAAAATTAATTAGTTATTTTGAAAAAATATATATTTTATTAATTAAAAAGACTCGGTTTTCGAATTCTCTATTATTGCCGTTCAATTATTGCCCTCGTTATTTTTGAAAAACATATTTCCCTTAAATTATTGCCCTCATTTCCATTCTCGTCTTGCAGGCCGGCTTCTCTACCTTCGGTATTGCTTAAGCAACTGCAAGAACCGAGATCCACCACGCAGCGAGAGTTCCTTCTCATTCTTCTTGATAAGAACCACCTACAGTTCCTGCTTCAACCTTGACAATTGCAGCAATGGAATAGTGGGAAGGGAAAGAGAATGAGCTCAGCTCCAGAGAATATAATTTTGTATTGATTAAGAGTTCATACACATTACATGAGAGAGAGAGCTATTGCTCCATTTAAAGGCCTGACCTCCCACTAAGGTGCCAGCTGAACATCATCCTAACAAACTTTCACCCTAGACAATTTAACATAACAGTAATAAAATGCTTACGAGTAAACAAGTAATTCACCGAGGTAATTCACTGATCCTATCAACACTCTCTCCTTGAAGAACAACCTTGTCCTCAAGGTTATCAAAATTGGAAATCTGGAAATCTTGACTGGAAGTCTTCATAGTCTTCCCATGTGGCTTCAACCTCGTCTTGTCCCGCCCAATGAACTAGCAATTGCACTCCTGCAGCCGCCCCTTTCTTGTACATTCTCTTGGCAAGGATTGCCAAAGGAGAATCCTGCATTTTCCCATCATCAGTCACTTCTGGTAGTGCAGTGCTAGGCTGAATCAAGTTTCCCAAATGCTTTTTAAGGCAGTTAACATGGAACACAGGGTGTATTTTCGAGCCTACCGATAGCTTTAACTTATATGCAACTAGGCCAATCTTCTCAATGACTTCATAGGGGCCATAGAACCTGGGATGCAACTTGTGATAAGCATGAGAAGCTAGGGACTGTAATTGATAGGGAATTAACCTGAGATACACATAGTCTTTAACCACAAATTCCCTTTCAGTCATATGCTTGTTGGCTTGCACCTTCATCCTGTTCTACGCAACTTCCAGGTTCGTTTTTAGCATTGTGAGCAATCTGTCCCTCTTAAGCAGCCCTTGTTCCACAGTCTCCAACTTAGATGTGCCTTTCTCATAGGATTCAACATGGGTGGTGGATACCCATACACTAACTCAAAGGGTGTAAACCTTGCAAAAGTGTGATAGGAGGTATTGTAATTCCACTCAGCCCAGGCTAGAAACTGCACCCATTTTTTAGGCTGATTCCCCGCAAAACACCTCAGGTAAGTTTCAAGGCACCTGTTTACAACCTTCGATGAGCCATCACTTTATGGGTGGTAGCCTGAGCTCATGCAAAGCTTGGACCCCTATAGCTTAAAGAACTCTTTCCAGAAAGCACTGAGGAATATTGGATCTAGGTCACTAACTATAGTTGAGGGCATCCAATGTAACTTAAACACATTATCCACAAACAACTGAGCTACTATGGTGGCCGTATAGGGATGTGCTAATGGCCGGAAGTGGGCATATTTAGTGAGTCTATCAACTACAACCATTATGATAGATTTTCCATGACACAAGGATAGTCCTACTATGAAATCCATACTGATATCTGTCCAGATTTGTTGGGGAATGAGAAATGGTTGAATCAAACATGGAGAGGAAAGGGTCTCATATTTATTTCGTTGGCAAGTATTGCAATCAGAAATGAAGTGCTTGATGTCATTCTTCAAACCAGGCCAATAGAATCCTCTTTTAATTCTGTGATATCTTCAAAACACCTTGATGCCTGCAGTCGAGGTAGAATGGTGCTCCTCTAAAATTACCAACTTCCAATGAGAGTTAGGACTGATTACAATCCTGTTTTTGTACTTCAGGAAACCATTATTGAGTTTGTAAGGTGATAAACTAGGCTCCTCAATAGTCCGAGAGTTAATGTCTTCCAATGCCTTGAGCTTGTGCTTGATCCACTCATCCTGCTTATTTTCCCTTTGCAATTCATCGAGCCATCCAAAGTAAGGGTAGGATATGGAGGAAAAACTAATACCATAATGGTCTAAGTCAGTCAAGGAACTAGAGCTGTGGACCCTTGAGAGAGCATCTGCCACGACGTTGTCACAACCTTTCTTATACTGGATTTCATAGTCAAAGCCTAGTAATTTGGTCACCCACTTTTGTTGGAAAAGAGTACTGGCCCTCTGATTGAGGAAATACTTTAAACTGCAATGGTCCGTTTGGATCACGAAGTGCCTCCCTTGCAAGTAATTCTGCCACTTTTTTACCGCATGCACTATAGCAATAAGTTTCCGCTCGTAAGCTGAAAGTGCTTGATTCTTGGGCCCCAAGGCCTGACTAGTGAAGGCTATGGGCTTCATTGCTGTTGGAGGACTGCCTCAATGCCATTACCTGAGGCGTCACACTCGAGTTCGAATGGTAATGCAAAGTTAGGATGAGCAAGGACATGTAGAGATGACATGGTGCTTTTGAGTGTCTGGAAAGCTTTTTCAGCTTTTGGAGACCATTGGAAACCGTCATTCTTGGTTAGGAGGTACAATGGTTGGCAAATTTTTCCATATCCAGGCACGAATTTTCTGTAGTACCCTGTGAGCCCCATAAAACCCCTTAATTCTTTCACAGTGGTAGGAATTAGCCAGTCTAATATGGCCTGAATCTTGGAAGGGTCGGCCTCCACTCCTTCTCGTGACACTATGTGGCCCAAATACTCAATCCGAGTCACCCCAAAAGAACACTTCTATTTTTTCACATATAATTGATGCTCAACTAACACCTGGAATGCAGTAGAAAGATGAGCTAAGTGGTCTTCCCAACTATGACTATACACCAAGATGTCATCAAAGAAGACAAGAATGAATTTTCATAGATAGGGCTTAAAAATGTCATTCATTAGGTGTTGCAAGGTGGCAGGTACATTGGTGAGATCGAAAGACATCACTAGAAATTCATAGTGGCCTTCATGGGTTCTAAAGGCCGTCTTCTCGATGTCCTCAGGATCCATGAGGATTTGGTGATAGCCGGATCTCAGGTCAAGTTTAGAAAAAAAACATAGCACCATGCAGTTCATCTAGGAGATCATTAATAAGAGGAATGGGGTACTTGTCCTTGATGGTGATAGAGTTTAACTCCCTGTAATCCATACAAAGTCTCCACGACCCCTCTTTCTTTTTCACCAAAAGCACAGGACAAGAAAATGGGCTGTGACTTGGTCGAATGAACCCTAAATCCAATAATTCCTGCACAGATTTTTCAATCTCAGTCTTTTGAAGGGGTCCATAATGGTAGGGCCTGATGTTTGTAGGCTTAGAACCAGAGAGAATGGGCATTTGATGGTTGTGAGACCTTGTAGGGGGTAGCTTGGTAGGTAAGGTAAAGATCTCCGTAAATTGCCCTAATAAATCATGTAACTCAACAAGCTGGTCAGCGTTCAAATCACAAGCGTCCAGTTTGGAGTGCTCCATAAAATAGAGAAATAAACCCAAGTGTGAATTCAGAATATCTCTGTCAAGTTGTTGCAGAGAGGTTTCTTGGATTAGAGTTGCACTCCCTGCTTATGGAAAAGTGTGTACTGTGTGTTGCCTTTAAAGAATGCTAATGTCATGAGTTAGAAATCCCAGAGGACGGGGCTTATGGAGGAAAGCCACTAAACCCCTAAAACCACATCACAACCTCCCAAAGGTAAGGACAAAAGATCAATCTAACAATCATAACCTCCAATAGACAACTGAGCATCCTTAGTACAACCAGAGCTGCTGACTGTGCCCCCATCAACAATCATCACTTCAAATTGCTTGGTGGGGTGTGACTGCCAACCAAACTTTTTAAACAATCGAGAATCCACGAAATTGTGTGTGCTCCTCGAATCAAGAAGAATAGTGACAGATTGACCATTAACCAGACTATTAACCTTCATGGTTTGCACATTGGTCTTAACAAGGGTACCATAGAATGCACATTCACTAAGGGACATGTGTTGTAATTCGGGTGGGCAGTCCGTAGAAGGGGCCAAGATAATTTTGTCTTCCGGGGAAACAAGATCAAGCATCAGCAGTTGTTTCTTAGTGCATTTATGTCCCAGAGTCCACTTGTCTTCACAGAACCAGCACTCTCCCCTATCACGTTTTTGTTGGATCTCATCGGAGCTTAGTCTTTTAACGGGTAAGGAATGGGATGGAGCAAGAGGCGAAGGAAGGGGTGTAAATGGTGGTTTTGGTGGGACAGAAGGCTTACTGTATACCCTTTTCATATCACAGAATTTTGCATCTAATTGCAAAGTAATAGCCATAGATTCATGAACATTAGCAGGACGCAAAAGCTTAACATCATTTCTTTCTTCAGACCACCAATAAAGCAACTCTTAAGCAAGATAGAGCCTAGATCTAAAGGTCGATTAGCCAATCTACGAAATTCAGCAATATAGTCCCGTAATGTACCTGTTTGGTGCAATTTGAAAAGTGCCTCAGCACTATCTTCAAACTCAGAAAGACCGAACTCATGGCAAAAGGCAAGTGTAAAATCCTCCCAACATGGAGTGGTCTGCAAGCAATTCATCCAGCGAAACCACTGGAAGCCTCACCATCCAAGTGGAAAGAAACAGTGGGAACTTGTTGGTGCGCCGGTGTAGAGTAATAAGCAAAGAATTGCTCCACCTTGTATACCCAGGCTGATGGATCGTCACCTGGTGTGAAATGGGGAAAGTCGATGCGATGTTACCAGTGAAGCCGTGGGTTAGACCCTCCGTCATCAAAACTTTGTCAAAGAAGGTTGCCGTGGCGAGTACTGGTGGGTTCGGGAGCAAGTGGAGGGTTGGCATGATCAACCACGGAGGAAGAAGCTCCCCCGAGACCAGAGCAAGTGATCTCCCTGCGAAATTGCTCAAAAAAACCGTTCAGCTTCGATTCCATGGAATTGGAAAGAGCGGCAACGTTAGCTTCCAGAGCGGCAATACGGGCGTCCATGGTAGAATTGCTAGTGGCGGGTTTGTTGCGGGGAATGCAAGAAAGGAAACCAGGATTGGATATGGGTGATACCAATGATAAGAACCACCTACAATTCCTGCTTCAACCTTGACAATTGCAGCAATGGAATAGTTGGGAGGGAAAGAGAAAGAGCTTAGCTCAAGAGAATATAATTTTGTATTGATTAAGAGTTCATACACATTACATGAGAGAGAGAGCTATTGCTCCGTTTAAAGGTCTGACCTCCCACTAAGGTGCAAGCTGGACATCCTTCTAACAAACTTTCACCCTATACAATTTAACATAACAGTAATAAAATGCTTATGAGTAAACAAGTAATTCACCGAGGTAATTCACTGATCCTATCACTTCTTCCCTCTCTCTCATCTTCTTCTTTCTCTAACCTTCCAAAACTGTTTCTTCGGCGGCTCCTAGTCAAAGCCAGAAGTCCCTTTCTTCATCGTCTTTGTCATCCTCCGCGGAATCTCCTGCTACCACGTGTTCCAAGCAGTCGTTCATGGAGACCACGAAGACAATTTTTGTAGGGGAAATACGAGGCAGCGACGGAGTTTTCACCCGAATAACGGTGACCCAACTTTAAAAACCCAATTTTTTCCCAAAAACTTATCAGTCATTTCTAATTTGAAAATTTTTGATTTCGATTGAGGAGAAATTCCACTTTACCTCTCTAAATCCCTCTGCATTTCTTAGGTTTTCTCGGGTTTTCCAATCTCGAAGTCCCGGTAGTTTTCTTGCTTTTTCTCAGGTTTCGATTTCACTTCCCTCTAATTTTTAATGAATGGATATTCTAGAAATTGAAGCCACACAGAGAGAGAATAGATTAGACGGCATGGGGTTAACACTTCCTTTTTCCATAAAGATTATGAGGAGAAGCCATAGAGATTATAGGGAGAAGCTGAGCGTGGTGCAAAGAGAGGCGGATGATAAGGGGGCGAAGTTTGTTGAAGCTTGGTGCGTTCAAGAACCCAACCACCAATTTGTTTTTGTTTCTAGAATGGAGGAACAAGAGATGGGTTGCCACAAAATCCATATTTGGGATAAAGATGGGTTGCCAAAAAATCCATATTTGAGATGGCCTGTAGGTGCTCTGGTGGGATGAACAACAATTTTTTCTTTTTTAATTAATATTTTTTTTTTCAAAATAATTAATTAAAACACTTTTTAATTCATTTTAATTGTTGTAAATAAAACTTCTTAATTTATTATTAATTAATTTTTTTTTATTCTAGTTGGCAAAAGAGTGGGCCCTGATCCTGCCATGTCATCATTTAACAGCTAAATTGATAGAAAATTTAACGAATGTATAATATTGTAACAAATTCATAAGTTGAGGTATGATATTGCAATATTTAAAACATGAGGTATAAGATTGTGGTTCGATCCAAAGTTGAGATAGTTTTGTATAATTATCCCAAAAAAAAAAAAAATTTGAAAAGAGATCGAATAATTTCAAAACAAATAAAGAAACAAATAAAGAAATGCTTTTAAGAGGGGTAGATTGTAACAATCCGTCCCGAGATTTACTGTACATAAATGGTATTTTTGTATTTTCATCAAGATTGGGAATTTATCTTCCTTTTAAAATTTGTTTTTGGTCTTAAATGGTGAGCCAAGGGGACCCACCCCTGATTTCTGTCCCCAGCCTCCCGTCTCTCTCTTCCTTCTTCTTCGTCTCTCTCTCCCGTAACTCTCCCTTAGCTCTCTCCCTCTCAGCTCTCCCGTACCTCTCTCCCTCAACCTCTTGCATCTCTCTCTTCCCCTGGACTCACTAGGACCGAGTCACCATCGAAGAGAGGCTCGCAACGAACCCCGGACCCTGCCCTGCGAGTTCGACGGCACGGAGTAAGCTCCGGCGACTTTCGAGGCCATTTCCGGCCAAACCACGGAGAGTTGGCCGGCGTGTAAGGTATCAATCTCTTTGTCTCCCTGAGTACTAAAACTTTCCTTTTTGTTTCACTCAATTTCGTTGAGTATTGAAGAAGTTATACTCATTTGAATCTTACACAGTTTCCGGTGAGTCCGACGGCTTTCGAGGAATTTTCCGGCCAAACCACGGCGAGTTAGATGTCGTGTGAGGTATCATTCTCTTCGTCTCTTCAAGGGCTACAACTTTCGTTTTTGTCTCGCTTGATTTTGTTGAGTTTTGACAAAGTTATGGCCGTTTAAAGTAGGTGTGGATTTCCGGCCGAATTCCGGCCTTCTTCATTCTTGGGTCCGGCGACCCACCAAAATCCAAGGCTTTGGACCTTTCCTGCCGAGCCTAACCCAAACCCATTTTCTTTATTTTGTTTAAAATTAAGTTGTTATTAAAAAGGCCCTTGGGCCAATTTGGAACAGGGCCTTCGGCCGTGAGTAGCAACCCAGAAAACCCTAGGCTTTAAGCCCTTGGGCTTTCCAAGTCAGGGCCCTAAGCCCTTTTTCTTTTAAAAACCCAAATCCTTTAAAACCCTAAACCCATCCAATTCCAAATTCCCTATTTTATTTAATTCAAACCATTCTTCGGGTAATTCAACATTCTGGATCCGTTTTCAATGTCCGTTTTCCCAAATTTAATTGCTATTATATAGTTTTATTAATTGTACCATTTAATGTGCTTAGGGGCAATTATTGTGACGTTTCCGTCTTTGCTAGTGGCGCAGCTTTTGACAACTAAGTACTGTGAGTGGACCCCTTCTAAAATTACATGATTGTATAGTAATTGCATAAATGATTAGCATGCCTACGGATTTATAATTTGATTTATGTGAAGCCTGTTGATTAAATATATTGATTATCGTCTCGTGTTTTGGTGAGGAATTAATTGTTAGCCTATATTAAGCTATATTTTTATATATCGTATTTTCTATAAAAACCATGAACTGATAGACTATCTGATTGATGATGATAGGATGCTAGAACATGATTTTGAACCCTCTTTATAGCGTAGACGATGATCGGTAACCTACGCTATGAAGTGGTATTTACGAGAGGCGTAACATTTTGTGCGTACCTAGTAGACACTATGCCGCCTGGGGCGAGGATCTGGTGTTGGCATTTAGGCCGGGAGAAATAATCCCTAACTACGGGCTGAGGGACATGAAGAGGCATTGGGCCGGGTGGTAGTTCTCTCTGGCTACGGGCGCAGAGACTTAGGTGCAGGCATTGGGCCGGGAGTTATATTTATTTGGTGATCTTACTAGCAGCACACCGCGTTTACGAGACGATTTATGATACGTTTACTGTTTTGATTTCCGCGATGCGTTTCCGCGATGTGACTTTTGAGATATTTGGCATGCTAGGATTTTGTTAAATCCATCACTTACTATGCTAGTAGTTTTCACTATTAAACTTTGGGGGTTAGTATGTTGATAACTGTTTTATTATTATTATATATATAAACTTGGTCCACTCACCTTTGTTTTGCGCCCCCATTCAGGACTTAGAATCAAGGCACCTAATCCCAGCGTCAAGGCACTTCCGCAACAGCATCTTCGAGTCCTCTCGGGGTAGGACCCACTCCTTTGTTCATTCAATCTTATCTTAATTCTTGTTAGTGACTAGGTTTAGTTGTATGCTCTGAACACGTTCCTAAATTGTTAGTTCATTGTATTTCAAATTTCTAACCTTTATTTATTTCTTATTCTTAGCTTTTGTATCAATTAATGGCTTTCGTCACCCCCGGGTGTCGGCCAGCACGTGTCGATCCTGGTATTCGGGGAATATCAGGGTCGGGGCGTGTCAGTTAATATATGGATAAGTCGTTTTCTTGCCGTTTTGACTTCATATACTGTGAGGATGAAAACAATTTCGATGAAGAGGGCATTCGACATTTAATTTAAGAGCTTCCGTCAACATAACATTATTCAGTGAATTCTAATATCTTATTAGAATTTAATATTGTTTTTTTTGTTTTTTTTTCTTTTTCACTTTCGTCTGGGCTTGCAAGGAGTAAAGGACTTAGAAAAATAGCTACTCACCATGCAAGCACCACTACAAGTCTACAACTGCACGTTGTGGCTTGAAACAAACTCCACTCTTCCGTTGTAACCTCTGGCCAGCGTAAAACTCCTCCCTATATGACTTATTATGTAATGTTGCCATTAATGTATCCAATCATCATACAATAAGTTGTTTAGTAAAGATTACGTGGAGTTATCCAAATGCACATACTAGGGCATGTTACATGTTAGGCAACCGTCCTTCCGATGGGTTTGGGTAAAAGCCAATCCCAAAACAATAAATTGGTATTAGATTTTTGGATTTGGACTTTTGGTTCACATTTTGCCCAATTGTGTTTATGATTTAAGGGGTGGACTCGAAAGAAGAACATTAAAAAAAGATTTAAAAAAAAAAAAAAAAACCCAAAGAGTAAACCTTTTTAAGACATCATATGGGAGAAGATAAGTTTTAATACTACTAGGGTAGATTTCAAATTAAGCGTGTTGTAGTATGGAGTCTCGAGTGAGACAAAAGTATAGAGAGTCACGTTGTTTTTTTAAGAAGTGAGCTAAAGACAACATGATCGTGCCCCTTATTGAAGTTTGCCTTCAAGTTAGAGATTATGGCATAACGTTGATTGTTAGTGACCATATAGCCCCGCAATTATGTGCTACAAGCACAAGTTTTTATGCAATCAGTGTCTTGTAAGTTTTACTTTATTAAAGGAAGTACATTGATAATTTATTTATAAACTAATAGTTAGAAAAATGTCACATTTTATTTATGCGTAGTAGTTAAACTGTAAAAGAACCCGAACTTGGAGAATGAAGGAATTGATTTGAAATATATATATAAGTGGGAGTGGGACAAATTAGAAAGATAAATTTGATAGTGAGAGTTCTCCTAATAATAATAATTATTAGGAAAAAAAGTACCAAGTTACAATGAAATTGGGAAGGAAATGTTGAGGATGAATCGCATATTGATGGGAGAATGAATCTTGCATGGTTCCAAGTATTCCACGTCACCCCATTTGTCCACGTTATAGGCTTGAAAATTCTCCATATATGAGGGGATATGTTGAGAATGAATTCTACATTGAAAGAAACAGGAAATTTGTATGAACCTATAAATAAGTTTGACTATTCACCATATTATTAATTGATGTAATGGTGAAACGTCAACTTTCTGTATAAAAAAACTGGTTGGATTGCAATTGTTCCAATTGGATTGGCCTCAATCCAGTGGTGCACTAAATATGGGCCCATTGGTAAATGGGTTCTAAAAAAAACTATTCATTTATGAAACCCATGTTTTTGTGGGCCGTGTATTAGTTGATTTGGTGGAGAAGGTGTTTGATGAAACCCTGAGACAGAGAGATGGGTTGTTCCTTACAATTCTACAGCGGTGGGGTTTAGAAAAATAAATATTTACGATTAGGTCTTGGAAGATTGTGAAGAACCCATGCTCCGGTGATTAAGGACATATTTGTGAAGGTAGAATACACCGGCGATTGCTTCGTAGTCTTCTGTACTTGATACATGCTTCTGCTAACCTTGCAGCGTCCCGTTCCAATTATTCCATCATCATGTAATTAGACATGGGAAGATATTTAGGTCGGGTTTGATAATCATTTTGTTTTTTTGTTTTCGATTTTCATTTTTTATGCTTGAGATGAGAGGAACTATATGTGGGAAAGGAGGGGTGAAGAAGGTTGGTGGGAGAGATATAGAAGAAATAGGAAGAGCCAAAAATTTAAAAAAAAAAAAAAAAGGTTATCAAACGGGCTCTTAAATGTGTTGTAGGTTCATCGAGTGACAAGTTCAATCGTGGAGCCTGATTGATATTAGCTACTGGTAATATAGGATTTTGACCAAGCCAAATGAGGTAGTTGGAGTTGGAAAGCTTGAGGGATTGAGCAACGTTAGGCTATCTCCAACTGAAAAGAGGCCAAAGGGCCATGTTTAGCCTATAGCCCTGCAAGAAATTATTTTTTAATGAACAATGTCATACCATATTTTATACTATCTCCAACCGAGGGGGCGAAAGGGCCATAGGCCAAAACATAACCTGTTTGACAAAAAACCATCTCCAACCGATAGCCCCCTCAATAATTTATTATTTTAATTGAATTAAACTACCATATTAAAATAAGGTTTTCAGACTTATTTTGAGTGTCATTTGTCGCTAAATTAATAAGCCTCTAGATTTCCTATCTTTATATAATGAAAATGATGTGAAAAATTGGTGAAGAATTGAAATTAAATGAGGTAATATAGTATAGAATGGTGAAAATGACATGAGAAATGACTTAGGTATTTATAGGAAAAAAATAAAAATTTCGTCTGAAAAACAAAACAAAGTCAAATCCAACAGTAATCTGATGTCAAGTAGCATGTGTTTAGAGCAACTCCACCCTTGGAGCCCTTCCCCCTGGCAATTCACTATTGAATCCACCCTATTGAACAGTAACTGCCTTTAATGAATAGTAACTACCATTAATGAACAGTAATTACCTTTTGCATCTCCACCCTTGGAGCCCTCACCCCTGGCAATATGTAATAAAATATTTTTTTTTGTTTGTTTAAATAATATAAAATAAAAAAAACATTGGAAATGGGGCTGCAGGCCCTCGGGCTGACACAAAAAAAAAAATAATAATGCCTGGCGCTCGGGCTGCAGGCTGGTGGATTCCTCACGGGCCTTGTGCTCGGGTTCCCACCCTCACTCGGGCTCTCCATGGCTGGAGCACTATCCACCGGGCCTTAGGCCCTTTCTTCTCCCCTGTCCCCCGAGCAATCCACATGGGTGGAGTTGCTCTTAGGCTGGGCTATAGGGCTAGCTAGCAGGCTAGCTGCTCTTGGCCAGCCCACTGGCCGAATCTCTAATTTTTGGTCGGGTGGGGCCCACGAGCCTTTTGGCCTAGCCATCGTTTGGAGAAGGTTTTCATATCAAAACTAGCTATTTTTTTGGCCTATAACCCTTTGATCGTGTCCGTTGGAGATGACCTTAGGACTAGGGAGAGATGAAGAAGACGTGGACATGGTGGGAAGTTTTCAAGATCTGATAGAGGGATGAGGACTCTTGTTTAACAGGTAACAACATTTATTTTGCAATCCAAATCAATTGATGGTGGAATGTATTCTGATATATTTCAGATCATAACTACTAATGTGAGTGATGTTGAGCCAACTGTCAGAATATAGCTAGATATATAGCATAGTACAATGCAGCATGGGCTTCATCATTATCAAATAAAGATTTCATTGGAATTTGATGATTTCTTGGTAAATGCATATCTTTATCGAATGTCAAGAACTACCGCTGAAAGTTTATAACCAGCATAATCTGGAATGAGAAAGAGTTCTTGCCGGATTCTTTTTATGAGAGTCCGAAGATCTTTCAATTATATTTGTTTATTATATTTTGTGTAATTAATTTTCATTAGGTACTGTTTATATTCAATTTAAATAAAAAAATTTACAATAATTTCTAACTGTGCATGATATACAATGAACGGATATGATTTAAGGATCTGCGGGATCCTCACAAATAGGATCTGACGAGGATCCTCACAAAGAGGATTGGCAAGGATCCTCAAGAATCTGCAATACCTTCCGCAGAGCATCTCCAATTGTAGAGGCAAATATAATAAGTAATATGTACTATAATGACTCTGGGATTCTCACAAAGAGAATCCGGTCAGAATCCTCACGAATCT